GTCCAATGGATTGATTTTTTTTTAATTTCAATTGTTCTTATTGAACAGCATGTATTCAGAAGCGATTTTACAAGACTTCATTGGCCAATTATTTGCTTGATGCTCTTCAAGCACGTGAGGAGACAATTTTCAACAATCCATTCATGACCTGCGCAATTTATTTAGACCCAAGGTTCAGAAATCAAATTACTTCAAATTTTGATAAAACTGAAGAGGCCAAGCGAATGTTCTATGATTTGTGGCAGCGAGTAAAATATCGATTCGATCGTGAACAAACAGATCAACAACAAAACGAGACGCAACCAGACATGTTTTTTGAGTTTAATGGCGATGATGAACTTGACAAACTTGGTGCTTCAATTAACAATGGAACAGCAGAATTCGATGCAAATGGGAATTGCATTGATATTGAAGCTGTTTTAGATAAATATCAACCAGATATTTTATCATCAAAGAACTCTGTATTAGAGTTTTGGGAGGCTTCCAAAGATACTCATCCAGAATTATACGAATTGGCGATGATGATCTATTCTGTTCCGCCAGCAGAAGTACAAATTGAAATAGACTTCTCACATTTGAATCATGTTTTCAACCTTCGCAGAGGGCAACTTCAAACGGAACGGCTAAAAGATATAATGTTTATTCATCTCAATCCTGATTTGTTCTACTTAGTAAAAGCCGATGAATTGAAAGTTGCATTTGAAAAAGTCCAAAACGAAGAAAGTCAATAGTTCAAAGTGAACAAATTAGAAGACTGTTTACCAAAGTTGTTGATTAATTTTTTTCATAGTATTAATAAGGAAATCATATCAAAAAGAACCAAAAATGTTCAATAGTTTGCTGAAAATAAATGTTTAAAACAAAAAAAAAATTATTTATTCACTATTAAAATTTTAAACAATATTTCCGTTGAAAATGACTTAGTGTGCCTGTGTAGTATATACACAACGATAAACACACACACCACACGTCAGACGTTTGATGTTAGAAATAGTCGTGCGATACGGTTTGTACATTGATGCGGCAACGCAGCGTTGGTTAGCTGGCTAACACACTGTCATTCCAACTGACCAGTTAGTACAATGTAATGTCTGAAACAAACTGACTGAGACCTCAAGTGTCAAACAAACATTTTGATGTCATACGTTTGTTTGACACTTGAGGTCTCAGTCAGTTTGTTTTGCAATGCAGCATGTGTCAGTTGTTAATTTTCCTGAATTTATCAGTTTAACTCATTAATTGGTTTATTCTTGTTATATTTTTGTTTTGCCAAAAAAATTGTTTGAATGAACTTAATTAATCAGAAATTTTTTTTTGACATAGTAGATATTCATTGAAAAGTGAGTTTAATATTCTTTTCTTTTAAGTGAGGGTGTTGTTACACTATCTAATACATTGTATTATTCGATTTCTTTAGACCCTGAAGAAGAATCACAAATGATTCGAAACGTCGGTATATTCTAATAAAATATCAACTCAAACCAGACCGAATTGGCTTTCATTTACTAATATCAACATATTTGCGGTCGATAGACACTATGGACCTTAAGATTGTTTGTTTAAAATCTCACAAGAGTTCATATGTTTTTCTCCCTCTATTACATACGTTATAATTGTTTGAAAATTGTATTATAAAGAAGTAAATAAAAATAAATTTGTAAATATTCATCATATGGTGTACAAGATATTCCAACGTTTTTTAATCAGAACATTCCGCATGTAAAGATGGTACATACAATGTACCAAAGTAAATGTAAACGAACGTAACCTGAGAAATGTTGAGTTTTTCAAAATCAACGATAAATTATTGAGAATCAATCCATCGGTTCCACTCAATCAAATGTGCAAAATGTCAAACAAAGTCCACGAACTTTTCTCAACTCAAACAAAAAGATCAACATTCAAAAACCAACTAGTAGCCCTAAGCGATGGACACTTTTCTAACTTGTCATTAGTGTCGAATCATAATACTGTTTTCGTAAACGATTTAATGTGATATTTTACGTTTTTTTTTTTGACTCATTGTACTCAGTGCAATATAAATATCAACTATTTAACTATTTATTTATTTATTTATATATTTATCAAACTCTCTCCAAATTCAATTTGGAAATGATATTTAATTAATAAATTTTGAAAAGATGTGGTTTTTAACGGTGATCAGATGTGATTCAAACCTTTTTCCCACCATACATATATAAAAAAAACTATGTACACACTCAAACATGATTCAGCCAGTTTTGGCGGTGAATAAATATTAAATATTATTATATATGATGCGAAATACGATAAATTTGAGCGTAGAAATGTGAAAAATAAACCAAAATTGTTATTTCTAAAAATCACATTTTTTTCGATTTTTTTGAAAAAGTTCTCTTCACTCTCGTTCAAGTCGTCACCCTATATGACATATAAACCCATCAAAAAATGGCTGTTTTGGAATCAGCTCATGCTTATACAACTACTCTGGGCTGTAGAGCCAAATCGAGAAAAATTCATCCACCCTATTGCACACGCATTCTGATTCAATGCCTTGCCCGCATAGATATATGTTGCTGTATGCCAGCATACATTTTAATTAAAAAACAATGTTCTATGCAGTCTAATTTTAATAAAACTGACCTAATATAATTACTCAAGTTAGTTTGTTTAACACAGTGCCCCCTTTGATTTTCACCGGTTTTGTAATAAAAATGTCACAAGTTGATTTTATGCGAAATAATCCGTTTTATTGATGTGTTCCACTCCTGAGTCGGGCACATAAGCGCGACTTTTACTTGTGTCGAAATCAATTGCAAAATGATTTTGTTGAATAAATCTGTTTGAATAAGTATTCAAAGTTTACCTAGATAAAAATATACCAACGTAATACGAGTCACCAACAAGGATAAAAATAAAATCACGATCAAAACGATCGAGCGTCACATGCGGATAGGTCAGTTACGATAAGCTATTGTACAATGATAACGAACCGGCTATTTTTAAGTAACACACAAACCGGCTATATTTTAAATATACAATGTAAACGCACAGACTGGAAAAAGTGAAAGTATGCGAGTATTAATCTGATAAAGTATATCAAAGGGAGAAAGAAAAACTATGTGTGTCATAATATGTAAAAATACAGGAAATACTAAAATTAAATTTAAGAAAACCGTTTGATGTGACCAAAAAAGGAAACGACCGAGTCCGCCAAAGAGTATAAAAGCCGAACCAACGGCTCAGGAGATCACAGTCGTTCACTTTCACTCAAAGCCCTCGAAAGACCCAGTTTTGAGTTGAATGAAAATAAGATTGTCAAATTTTTGTGAAAATTGTGAGATAAAAATTTAAAATTAACATAAAAATCGAAGGAAAAAATTAAGTGTTGTGTTTTATTTGTGAACTCAGCCATAGACTAGTGGTTAGCGTGCCAGGTTTGTGAGCGTGAGGACACGAGTTCGATTCTCGGTCAAATTTGGTCCGGTATTTTTCCACCGTGATTCGCTCAGGAATTATCAGTGGTTTTATGCGGAATAGATTTGGCCGGGTTTCGGGCTAGTGGAGTGCTTCGGAGGGCACTTAAAGCCGTCGGTCCCGTGTGTGTGCACAACGAATAATGGGTTCAGCATAGACACACGTAAAATGGAGTGCCTTTACGTTAGGTTGGTGTCTTGGATATGTCAAATATCCAATACGTCAACCGTAAAAAGGTAGTGCGACATCTCTGGTGAATATACCGGTAAACCAGCGATATATGCATTCCTCCATTGAAATAAGAAGAGCCCAACGCCATCTAGGAATGAATGGAATACTTGTGACTGTCACGACAATTGACTTGAGAAGAAAGCCCTGGTCACTGGCCCTGTACGGAGGCTAGTTACATGGCTGCTATAAAGTGGGCCACACCGTGGGAAGCATTCTCCAAGCAATCGAGTGACAGCACAAGTCGGGTCGTCATGCAATAAGTTACGAAACTTGAGCATCGAAGTGAATAACTCCCCGTTTAATCCAATAATCCAATAATAATAATAATTTCATATCGAAACAAAATCCGTTGATTAAATTGTGTGAAAATTGGTTGTTGAACAACGTTGGGGTCACCAATGTGGGTTGTTTAAATTGAATAAATGAAAACACCACTTTTTAAATAAAATAAAAGTATAAATTTTAATCATGATCGGAGATGTTACTTGTACGAAGGTCAGTGAGTTAATAATGATTTGTCACAAACTCATTTGTGTATTCGCCGCACACTACCAAAAATGCAGAAATGTCGTACGTTCGACAGAAAGTGTCAATTTGAAGTTGTTGCGTATGGCAAGACCGTGCATGAGCAAATATTAAAACTAGCTTGCATTGAGGCTGCCACAAATTTATAAATTTGTCACTTTTGAACTTAAAGTATTGGGCACAGAGAACAGGATCATTTCGGACGAGCTTTGTTTTTATTTCGTCACTCAAACGCATGGCTTCTTCAACCGTAATATCTTGATGGTAATGAAATTTGTACAAGACTTGTAGCAGATCAGGTGTTAAGTAAGTAAAACGACTACTCAGGTGGACTGTCCGACTCATAATGAATCCGTTATACTTTATTGTTCTTTATTTATATTAAAGTTACAAGGGTTTCATATTACATCTAACACCTCCCTT